TAAAATTGTCTTATAGTTTATATAGTGAAAAGTTAAAGGGTCGTATTTGAGCATATATAAAATAATTTAGATTTAATACACATGTGCACACTCAGTTCTGTGTAGACATAGATTTTGAGTTTATGTTGTATCGCATATTTAGTTATTAATGTGTAGAAAAACTTCTTATTTTTCATTATTGATTTATTTATTATCACAAATCAGATTAAAAAACATATAGAAACTCAATATTGATATTTAATTATCATTGAAGAAAGCTTCTAATAAAGTAAAAAAGTTTTTATCTCTATTTCTTTTGATTTGGTTTTTATTTTTCAGAATTAATTACTTCTATTTTCTTATCTTTCTAAGCTTATTTTTTAGTTATTTTAGATCATATGCAAGAACCCCTTTTTAATTACTCATTGTTTATATTTCATATTGGTTAATTTCTTTATATTAGCATATTTAATGCATCTTAACTTAGTTTTCTTTAATCTAAACTTAAATAGCTTATTTTGATTAAGTAATTCAGTTCTAATGTTTCTATTCATATGAAACTATACCCTTACTTTATATACTACAAATCATTAATTTTAAAAGTTTAAATTCGCACAACTTTAATACTAGTTATATTGTTTAGTTTGTGATTGTTTTTCATTTTTTAATTTAGTTATTTTTATTTGCATTCAAGAAGCTAAAATTATTTATTTTGAAATAGGTCATGTCTTCTACTTAAAAAATAATTACCATAACTAATATTACTTCAATAAGTACTACTTCGATAACAAAAAGATTTCATCATCACATTATATAATGCATGGTGAGAAAACTAAAAAGGTCAATGGATTGAACTTCAAGATGTGACATTAGAAAATGTTGTTCTATTTGACCACCTTGAACCTGATAAAATTTTTTTCAGAAGAAACATCAATATTGTCTGATAATAAATCTGATCCTATCATTATAACAGTTATGGACATGTAAAATCATAGCAATTTTTTGTTCAAGAATGACATCTTAAATCAATTGGACATATATATAGTTTTCAATTATAAATGTAAAAGCATTATGAAAAGCTTTAGAAAACAAAGTAAAATGCTAAAGATGCTGGTATAAATAAATTCATAATTGATAAATTTATAAACTTCAAGATGATCACTTCAAGGATAATTATAAGCCAAGTTCAAAATTTTTAGCTCATCTTATATATTTTATATGATATTTATATTGAATGAATAGTTTTAAGTGAATATTTCCAAGTGACTATAATTATTAAAAAACTATCTCCATTATGGAAAGACTTCAAAAACTATTTCAAGTACAAGCATAAGAAAATCATAGTTGAAAATCCCATTTTAAGATTAAGGACAGAAAATAACAATAAGTTATCCTAAAAAAAACCAACAAATTCAATATAGCCCTCAAAGCAAATATTATAAAACAATGGGTAAAGACTTAAAAAAAAAAAAACTTATTATGAAAGGGTAGGGGATTGCTAATAAATTTAATGATAAAAATTTTATCGATAATAAGCTCAAACACCAATTCAAAGAACACAAAAATAGAATCAGAAAAAAAAACTTTAAGAAAAGGATTGTTTATGCCAATATCATCGAGATTGATCAACTCATAAATAAAGTTTTAAAAATGAATCTATTTGTTGTTATTTTCAAAGTGAACTTGATCAATAATTTCAAGTAGTGTTGGGTTGATATTAATGCAACAAAACATTATATACAAAGAAGTTAATGTTTTCACTTATAAAAAAATGAATGATTAATACTGTACATGGTAAGCTCATAAATCTACAATGTACTAGGCATTAGGAAGGCATTCAATATTCAATGATTAATATTGAATGTTAGGAAGGTTACATTGAATGTCATGACCCCATTTTCACCCCAAAAACAAAAACAGAAGTTTTTCAATATTTCTAAAAATCCTCAAAATTTCCCAAAACAATTAATTGCTTCATCTCCTGAAGAAAATTTTCCATGAAAAATATATTAAAAAAATAACAAACAAGGATTCAGTTAACAACTGGTCAAATTTATTATGGCTATAATTTGAGGTTTGATTGAAGAAAAAAAACTGAAATTACATTAAAAAGGGACTAAATTGTAAAAAACTCAGAACTTAAATGGCCATTTTGAATAAACTTAAGGGTTTGATTGAAAAGAATTCTTGAAAATCAGTGTACATCAGCTAAGATTTGAGAAATCAAAACTTTAGGGACTAAGTTGAAAACTAATTAGAAAAAATAAGTTTTAATGAAACTGATGAGTTTCTTCGAAAAGATCAAAAAAGGTTTGATATGGAAAAGGCGCTGTTATGGTTGGAATAAGAACCCTAAGGATTGAATGACTTGTCATCGACCAAATTCCTTAAAGTCTACTTCCCTAAAATGGAAGAATAACACGTGTGGAGATGGAATTTTGGTGCCTTCTTTCCCCTTGAGTTTGATCCCTGTGAAGATAAAAATCACCCTCCCCCTTGCTTCTCTGATGAAAGACAGTCTCCCGGGCCTTGGTTCAATCCACACTCTACTCTATTAAGTCTGCAAAACTGGCCTAAAGACCTTTGCAGAACCAGCCTTGCCAGCAAGTCTTGGCTGGATTTATATCGATGGCTAGGATGGATAATGAAGAATCAAAGGTCGTGATGCAAACCCCAAGTACTATATCCCCAGGTCTCTATAAAAGGCACCAAGTCCCAGCTTGGAGGAAGAATAAAAGAAGAGAAAAGAGCAAGATCAGAAAACACAATGAGAGCTAGAAGAAGCGGGAATAAAAGTCAGTATATATTAGAAAGAGAAAAAAGAGCAAGGAAGTAGTAAAGAGAGAGGATAGAAGACAATTAAGAAAAGGAAAGATAAAACCCACAAATAAAAGATTCTAAAATTCGAAGGAAAAAAATACAGTGAAGAAAAATGGTCAAGGGAGACTAAAAGAGGGGCTTGAAGTCGTCGGTAAGTAATCGTACGGCCATTCAAACCTTTGGCCTCTAAGTAGACAATTCGTATCAAGCAACAATCTTTCTCGAAAGGGTGGGGGTTGGTAGCCGTTTAAGATATCACTGTCTTGCAGGTTGGATATTATAATGCATTCCATCTTATACATGAAGGATTTTGTTTCGTTCTAGTTGTTTTCTTTCTTTTCTTGTTTATGCTACATGAATGTCTTTCCATATATCATGCTCGTAACAAGGTACCGGGTTGAGATTTAATGAGACACTTGTATTTGTTCATGTGGGAGAAGAGTGTTTGTGCATGCATGAAGATATATACATGCAGTTTCCTTTCATTGTGCCAACCTGTTGTTTTTGCTGCAGTTTTAAAGTTGAAAGCTTGCCAAACATGTGGCTCTCTCCCTTTCTTGGAGTGTATTTGAAATTGTAATTGAAATGACGGTTCAAAATGTTTTTTATTTAGAAATATATTAAAATAAAAATAATATTTTTAAAAAATTATTATTGATATCCAAAAACATATATATATATTAAGCAAACAAAAAAAAATCAAAATTTAAAAAAACTAGCACCACGTCACCAAAAACACCCTTAGATATTTTCATGCACTGCCTTTGTGGTTGTAAACTCTGTAATGAGGATGAAGAATGGGCTATTAATCATCATGTCTTGGATCTTGAAAGAAGGTAGCAACAAGGTCGGCTAAACAAGATCCAAAGGATTCAACATCTGAACAGGTGGGGAAGGATGATGCAAAATCACACCTTACCAGCGAAATAGGTTTGGGAGTCGAAAAAGACCAATCATTTGCAAAACAATCAACAATGACAAATAATATTCAAATTACTAATATGTGGGGTCCATAATCGATCATAATTGTGCATAATCCAACATAATTATGCAACAATTGATTTGAGCATAAAATACAAATCAATATTCCTTTATTAATCCAAACAAGAAATATTAGGAGCATTGTTTATACTAAAAATAATTAATGTGTCTTTGGATTAACAACATTAGTTCACTTCATAAATCAATGAAAAAAGATGAAAGAAATTGACCGTCAACCAATGAAGACAATTAAGATCATCTATTGACCGTTGACTAAGGAGATTATGATTCATATTAAACAATCCATCGATTTATTCTTCCATGGACATTAGAATTCACATTAAAATTCCATCGATTAATTCTTATTTAGAATAGGAGTCTTTAATGGTTAGTCTAATAAATATATCAGCATAACCAAAACACTTACAATTGCCAACAGAATATGCACACGGATTTGGATTGTAAAGTCTTCATATACCATAAAGAGTTTGTATAGGATTAAGATTTCAAGTATGTGTAAAATTATATATAAATCTAGTTATTGAAAATGATAATCAACCTCATATACTCAAGTTTTTTTTATGCAGTTTAAAACTTACATTTTTTTCTACAATTATCATTTTTCTTTCATCACTTTCTTTAAATCCCAGTTTGTGTACTTGCTTTTTATCTTTTCCTTAACATTACAAATGCTTAGAACATCTAGTTTGGTTTCCGAGGTTGCTACATAACTCCACTTGGGATTCAGTTTCTAGAAAGAAGGAATAAAAAATGAATAGCCTAGTTAATTCAAAAAAATATCTAACTGATTCTTTTGGCCACAATTAAAATTGGAAGGCCTTATTATCATAGATGATTTAAAAGTCTAGAAAGAGCAAAACCCCGCCCCCCAAAAAATTAAATAATAAGAATAATAAAAATTAAAACTACAATTAATTTAAATCTTGATAACTAATTATTTGAGATTCACTAGAAGCTGGTGACCATATTCATGCATTTCTTAACAGGACAAATGAGAATTACAACATCTGAGCTCTGATTTCTGATGAGGTTCTACATAACTAGGAATCTGAAATCATAAACAATGAGCCTATGCCAGACTCCGAAAAATCCATTTTCATTTCATAGGTCAATTTGGCACTTACAATTGATTCGACTGAAAAGAAAATCATTGTAAACAAATCCACGGTCAATTAATAAAAGCAGGTAGTCATAACACATGCATGAGACAAGACAACTCCTATAAGCACAACAAACCCAATTCTGTCAAAATCTACTGTCCATTTTACAATATGGATCCTACGAAGAAATCCAGTGGTGACTTGAATCTAAAAATGATGGGATTAGAAAAAATTACTTTGGGACAGTTCGTGCCTTGTACATGCAAATGTAAGCCATATGCCAATCACCTAAGATCAAAAGATAGAAATTCATCAGAATAAACAAAAACAGTTTTCACTTAAGAATAAAATGGCAGTCGTTGATGGGAATGTGATTGTAAAAAACAAAAAAGCAAGAATAAGTTTGCAGAATTTTCCCACCACACAAGCCCACTATCCAATCAGGCTAGCTTACCTCCTCCCGAGAGCTTAGTTATATCTTCCTCCCGTTGTGGAACAGGATTATCATCATCAAACTCAATCCATTTCCCTGGGATAAACATTGAGAATTCATCAGTTGAAAAACCCAAGTCAATCCAAATGACATAGTGACAAAACACTGAACAAAAATCGTTAGAGAACCTACCACTTTCTTGCTTGACCCATGCAACATAATGCCCTGAATCAGCACTCCTTCCCTTGTGGGTGAGCACAGCTACCAAATCATAAATTCCAGTTAAATGTGACTTTTTATCTGTAGGACCACCTGGGGCAAAAAGCGAGAGCATTAAAGAGTGCACTTTCACAGATGCACTTGCAGTTGAAGGTTATTAGCACTGGAAACTAGGTGCATTCCCCAGTAAAGACAACTTTGGGAGATGAAAGAAGAAAATTAAAAATCAGTCATTTATAAATACAAACAGTTTCCATTATATTTAGCATCTCCAAAAAAAATGCAGCAATGGTAGAGTTAACTTTGAAAAATTAAATACAATGAAAACCGCAATATCATCTTATATGCACAGAAAGCATCTCTGGCCCAAAATCGTTCACAACATCCAGGAAGCACAGCCAGACACAATAGCAACAAACATTATCAATATGAACTGCAAGTGCATCCCCTGGAAGTCAAACACAAAGCATCTCCTGGGGACCCTCGATAAAAGAAAAATAGAAATACCAAAAAAAGATGCTTCAATCACAAGCAGGAGAAATTTAGAAGTTTTCACCTTCTTGGGAGGTAGGCTTTGATGATTCTCCACTCTCATTTGATGGCCTCTAAACAGAAAACAAGAGGGTAAGATATATCAATAATATCCATTGGTCTTATCTATTTGTATTTGCATCCACAATTCAACCATCTACTCACCTCCACGTCAGTCATCTTGACATCATTGTCTTTTGAACCCGAGGTCTTCTCCTTGGCTTTCAAACCAGCCTTTTTACCCTCCTCATCTCTTAAAATCTGAGTTATGAGATGTAAGGAATAATCATAATCATAATCATCATCCAAACTTTAGCACCCTTACATACTGAGCACTGAAACAAAAGGATAAAAATATACCTGGCGAGGTGCTTCTAATTTTTTGCAAAGATCATCAGAGCAAAAATCGTAGACATCCAGTTGTAATGGGTAATCCACTTTCTAAGAAAGACAGTAATTTTAAAAAGGTTGTGTCATATAAACATTAAAAAGTACGGCTTTTATTAATCTTTTTGGGCGAGCAGAGCATTCAATCCCTTAAATTAAACAAGCCATTTTACAACCACAGAAATAGAACTTTTGAAGTCACTTCTCATTTTATAACAGAATGAAAAAAAGAAACCCCTATTACCCGTAAAATCTTGGCCTTCTGATTTGATTCCCTCTTCCAGAAAAAACGAACAAACTGAACGGTTAGGTACCTTGAAAACAAATATGTGCCGTCAGAAATGTCATTCTTTTAGGAGGAAAAATTAATAAAAATAAAGAGAAATAGCAGTGTTTGAAAAAGGGAAATCACAACGTAGAAAAAGCCAAAATGGAAGGTTATTACCTTGGCAAGGCATTGATACGGGACTCCTTCAGGTAAATTGCACTACGGCCCAAGCAGGGAGAAGCCTTCTCCAATTCAGACTTCAAACCCTATAACCAGTAAGATTAAGATATTACTAATACAGGGCATTTAACAAGTGCACGCGCGCGCACGTGTGCATGCATGTGTATCCTCTCATACACACAACACAACACATATTATTTTCAAGTTGAGGAGTGGGAAGTGATAGGCAGTGAATCCAGTGATGCCACATAAAATTACAGAGCGGCTAGTGAAATTGTCTCAAAAGGGAAAGCAGGTTTTATCAAAAGAACCAGAGTAATCAGCTTTATTAGCTGCATTTATAGGTTAGTTGCTAACTTGGGAATCATTAGCCACTAGTTGATAAAAAGCATTTATATTTATTTTGATTTAAATATTCAAGTAATAGTCCATTGTGAGAATTCTACCATTTATTGTAGTTAAATACAAAGATCTCAATTCTCAAGAGTCTAGTATTTCCACATGGTTGCATTGTCTACTAAAAGCCAGTTTTTTTACCTTCAGATGATAAGCCAGCCATGTTAATCACAAAAAGTTCCTCAGCGATAAGGTTAATACAACTACAAATGCAAGCAAAGGCAATAGCTATGAAGCTTTTCTTTTCTACTGTGATATTTTGGCAGATTCAGTTTACTCTTGTGTGAAATGGCGCAAAAGGACCCATAGCCAAAACAATTGGTTAGGAATTGAGGCCTGGTTGACATGGTATTCCATTTGCCAAGGTGGGTGACTAGCATTAAAATGTCTTTAACTCATCTGTAAGGTAGAGACCAGAAGACTGGCATGCAGAACTTGTGCAAGAGAACACTGAAAAGGCAAGATCCTAAAATTGAGTACTGTTGTTATTTATCAATAAGCAAAACCTTCTATAGTCACTATCCTCCAGCACATGGACAATTAACACTTGATGTAATGACATTGTGCCTAAACAAATTATTGTTGCAGTTCACAAAGACAAGCAGCAGGGATTGCGCAAGAAATTTTCTTGGGTTACAGGATTGAGATATCAATAATTTAACAATTTGCATGCACCAATGCAGAAATGTTTTGGCTGCTTATTTTGTAAGAATAGATATGAGTATTTTCCTTCCAAATATATATGCCTATTTTATCTTAAAAAAATATTTTTGAAGAAATATTGTTTCATTATAAATTTTCATGCCAATATGAGCAAATGCAATTGGCTGCTACAGTTGATTTACTTTAAAAAGGATGACATCTCATATTTAACTTAGATTGATTGCCTTTAAATTGCTAAATTTCCATGTTTTTTAGTTTTCAGGGTACATATGATCAGGGGATATATGAGTTTCTTAAAAGTTTTGGGGGAGGCCATGGCCACTGAGTGACCTTGTGCCTTGCATTTGGGTCTGTGCAATTGAGAGACAGAAGTGGAATCAGATTCATTTTGCAAAAGCTTCCAACAAGACACATGATTATCAAGAGCTAGTTGAGTGCAGGCACAAACCAGGCTATTGCAAAGGAATACACAAAGCATTCAACATACCAAAATCACATAAAAGGAGAAGAATGAAATCCTGGTAACAGAATAATTAGTAAATCTTACATGCTTCAGTCCTTCATGCAAATGGTTCACCTCTTGTGATATGTGGCATTTAAGTGAGTAAACTGATTCTGTCTCTGAGCTCTCTTCACCACTTTCTTGGCAATGCACCCTAGCAACCAATATCACATGCAAAAACTTTGTCAAAGATTGTAGTACCTAGCCAAATGAAGACGCTCATAATCATTTAATCAATGACAATCCAGCAGCAAAAGCAAGCTCATAAATGTAGCACTTATTCTTTTGCTAAACGTGACTGTAGCTACAATCCAACTGTTATGAAAACAGAGGTGAAGATATCCACCTGCTTACAAGTTCAATGCCAAAAAGTGCCTTGATTGTATCTGGATTTTCACTGCAGGTTATAAAAGGTCAAAATCAAGAAGGTAAGTATCCATACAGCAAGCAAGCATTCAGAATAAGCAACGATATTTAAACCAATAATTTCTATATAGGGAATTATACTTATACAAAAACAATCTCCAATGAATTTCCCAACTGGAATGGAGTAAAAGTTTTGACTTTTGATGACATCCACTATAGAGCAAAAGCATGCTTCTATGGTCTATGAAGCTCAATTCAACTAAGACATGTGCATGGACAATGTTTCATATTCAGAAAAACACAAAACAAAACTACCTGAAACTCGGTGATCTAAGTGATTGTGAAAGGGTGTATAAAAGTTGTGTCCAACATTCTTCAGCATCCTGTTACATTTCAAAAATGCATAGATCAACATTACAAGAAATTATATTGTTACAACCGTTATGTTAGGCATATTGATATTTGGAAAAACCTGCTGCATGTAGACTCCGTTATGCAATTGACCAAATTGAGGATACTTTTTGCGCAATACCTGCCAAAGTAAATGGGTAAACTAAAATGCAGTATGTGTTTTCCCCTGTTTCCAAGTAATCAAAGCGCAATAAGGCAACAACAATAATTTCAAGGTATGCCACAATTCAAATATAGGCTTATCATGGTAAACATAAATTGATGGACTGCAAAACTGAAAACCTAATGATGACAATAATGTGCAAGAGCTTGCACTATTAAAGGCAGATAATTTTGTACATCATTAGGAATTAATCCTAATTATGCTTGCATGGTATTAAGCATGGAATGGGTAATATGAAAGTCCTAATAAATAAGATCAATGTTAATATCCATATAATCAGAGTTCTTTGCCCTGCAACATTCTAGTTTTCTGGAATGCATTTCTTCAGCTCAAATCTGTAAGACTCCACATATGTGATCAATGTTAATATCCATATAATCAGAGTTCTTTGCCCTGCAACATTCTAGTTTTCTGGAATGCATTTCTTCAGCTCAAATCAGTAAGACTCCACATATGTGATCAATGTTAATATCCATATAATCAGAGTTCTTTGCCCTGCAACATTCTAGTTTTCTGGAATGCATTTCTTCAGCTCAAATCAGTAAGACTCCACATATGTGACAGCTTGTTAAACAATAATATGTTTGAAAAAGGTGTGTCCAACATTCATAGTGGGACTTTATCCCATTTATATGTTGTATTACTAAAAGCTTCTCAAACAGAAAAAATGTCAATAAATGCTGCAAATAATGCAGAAGAAGAGTACAAACCATCCAGAACTGCATAGGTGCCACAGGCTGTACACTTTTATCGAGCTCATTAAATAGTTCTCGAGTCGCAGCTGTCAGCATATGAGATGAATGATCCAACTCACTGCTTTTTTGAGATGGATAGCTGCCAAATTTCACATTGATAACAATATTTCAGTCATACAAAAGTATCCACATTTGATCTGCAACTTGAAAACTAGTTTCAGAGACATTCACAAAGAGAACTCACCTGACTAAAGCAGACTTCAACTCTGGAACAGAATGCAAGCATTGTACTGTCGAGTTCATGTAGCAAGTGTTCCCTAGATTAAAGAGGCCAGCAGTGTGACCCTGTCAGCAGAACAAATTTAGCATTAAAGTGAAACAAGAATATTAAGTGAGAAAAGATCATTAAAATAAAAACAATATCTGGTGACATTAAAGAGGGAAAAAATAAAACAAACATCCAAGTACTAGATATTCCTAATAAAGGATTGATGAAAATATATATAAATAGCATTTACAACAAAGAATCTAGAAAAGTCTGATTATCAAATATTTAATCACTGATAATAGCATAATCCAGAATTTCACTTTTCCATTCCACCAAGACAATGACATTCTAACTGAAAGTCAATCAAAGGTTTGTCCAGGATGCATAACCAAGGATCATTGTAAGTTTGTGCTCTATAAAATGGAGAGAGGGAAGAACAGGTATCAGCACTGTCTTTTTCCATGCATGCAATGATAAGAAAGTAGATGGTGGTGATGATGATGATGATGATACTCCTTGTGTTATGCTGACATATTAATAATAGCTAATAAAGCATATGCCAACTCATCTAATTTTTTTTATTAACTTTTCAACAATGTCCTTTTAAATGAAAATTAGTTGAAGAAAAAATGTTGAATATAGTTTTTATTGAGGGAAAAAATAAAAAAGAGAATTAATGCTTTAAATTTTGGATGATATACAGATATGCTACGACTTATCAGCTAGGAAATGACAGTCTTTATGGGACCGACAGATTATAACTTTCAAATTGTAATTATAAACTTGAGTTTATAGCATGCCATGTTGAGTTCTGTGCTTAGTTCAAGTTCAAGCCCAATGAGAAAGCTTGGAAACAGGTTTGGGGTAGAAATTTGATGGCTTGACAATATAAAAAAGAATAATTAGACCTCGCATACATGAAGGCAGTGAAAATGGACTTGTTGATCTTTCAAGAAGGATTATTTGTATGCATGAGCCATTGATGAATGAATTTACAGGCATATGCCAACTCATCTATTTTTTATTAACTTTTCAACAATGTCCTTTTAAATGAAAAGTAGTTGGAGAAAAAATTTTGAAAATAGTTTTTATTGAGGGTCAAAATAGAAAAAAGAGAGAATTAATGCGTTAAATTTTGGATGATATACAGACATGCTACAACTTACCAGCCAGGAAATCACTCTTCATGAGACTGACAGATTATAACTTTCAAATTGTAACTAAGAACTTGAGTTTATAGCATGCCATGTTGAGGTTCTGAGGTTAGTTCACGTTCAAGCCCAATGAGAAAGCTTGGAAACAGGTTTAGGGTAGAAATTTGATAGCTTGATAATACATAAAAGAATGAATGGACCTTGCATGCACGGAGGCAATGATGGTGAAAATGGACATGTTGATCACAATAAGAGTCTTAGGCTTCCTAGAAGGATTATTTGTATGCATGGGCCATTGATGAATGAATTTACAGGCATATCCAAATAAGTCATGCCCTGGTCCACTTCTCTCTCCTTTTTTTTCTTTTCTTTTTGTTGATCTTATTTCAAAGGAGCTAGAAGCTCTTCTCTCAATTGCCTTTCTCTCACTTTTCCCTCATCATTGGAGAACAAGACTGCAACTTACAGTCCAGTAGAAAGGCAAAACTGTGACATATGATTAGTACAAAGCCACACATAAATACTGGCTTGGGAATGGAGATGAAGCATGACTTATTTCTTGATAATACAACTAAGCCAAGCCTAGCCAAAGGTGCAATTGGTACAGTTCCATTTGCTTTGCTTGGACCAGGACAAAGCATGGTTTTGTAGTCATTTATCAGTCAAGGCTCAGCTTGTACAGCAATTATCTGATTGCAAACTCTCAAAAAAAGCAGACAGATCCATGTCATTTCTGTGGATCCTACAATCTAGGAGCATGTTTTATAACATAGAATACATGGGGAGAACACAGGAAAACGTAGCAACAACTGGAAAAAAGAATGAATGAATATATATATATATATATATATATATATATATATGCATGCTTAATTAGTTTGTGTGATATCTCTATAACCAACTACTTTTATGGAAGGCTCACATTCACTTCAGAAACTCATCATTTAGAAGCTGTTTCATTAACCTCCCTTAAGTTTATCAAATTAAAAAATGAAAAAAAGAGAGAAGCAAAAAAAATGAATAATTCCTTAAGGGGTTAAAAGCTAATAAATTCCATTTGTCAGCAGTTTATAACTTCTGATGTCAGTTTTCTACATCGATTAGAATGTTATTATATAAATCAACAAATTCCTTAAAGCGGCACGCCATGAATTCATAGATCATGTGTAGAAGAAAAGGGTTGAAGAAAAATACCATAGCAACCATTTGTTCTTCTTCTGGAAGATCTTCCATAAAAACAGGGCCCTTCTCTGGGGTCTTCACAATCTCATCTGCAGTCCCCATCATCATCAATTTTTGACCCTAAATTTTTTTTAAGAATGTACACTATTATTTAGCATCATGTCACACAAGAATAAGAGTTGTGTCGCAGTAAAATAATCATAAAAGACCATTACCTCCTTCACTCCTAAGGTTGCCCAATTGGCATCATCCTGCATTGTCAATCAATGAAGTTAAAGAAGGACAAGTGTATTAAAAGGCAACAAATTCTTAATAACACCTAAAAAATCACAATTAAAATAATATGAATCAAATTGACCACTGCAAGTAATGGATATTTTCAGGTACATTTAGAAAACATCTAATTACCTTCAGCAAACCACCCTTAACCATAATCTTCTGCCTCTCGGGGGGAACTCCAGTCAAATCATGCAACTGACATTTGAAAACATAAGGGGACTGGCTAGTGTCAATTTCCACTTTTGGGAACAGCTCCTTTTGCCATTTTACACTCACTGCGCCAATTCATTGGAATCATTAAGAGAAGAAGCACCAAAATTTTAAAACAATTAGACAAATGATAACTGAAAAGGTACAGCTCCGATTGTTCTGCTGAGCTTGAGACATTCTAAAATGAATTAAAAAGACAAAAAGGAAAACAGAATACACACTGCCATTGTATAAGATCCACCGCACGAACTATACTAAGAGTATGTTTGAGAGTGTGGTATCAGTTGATTTTCAAAGTATTTTTTCCCTAAAAATATATCAAAATAATATTTTTTATTTTTAAAAAATTATTTTTGACACAGCACATATCTAAAAATATAAAAAATAAATAAATTTAAGCAAAAAAAATGAATTTTCCAAACGGTGTCAAAGAGTGATAACATTCAAAACCAGGACCCACAAATGGCGTCTACACAAAACCAATTCTACTGAATCTCCATCTAAAGCTATTTGGAGTTCTCTATGCCGATCCTTTTCTTGCATTCTATTTTGCTTAAAAAGCCAATCTTTCTATAACCTGCTTGTTGTAACCTCAATTCTTTGGACAAACTCCCCATTTCATTAATCCTAATGCCAGATTTCTAACAACAAACACTAATCACTAACTACAAACGTAACCCAAAAAATAATCACTTATTACAAAGAGTTCCACGATTCTCATAAATTGCCAGGAAAAAAAAACATTATAGCTATAGCTATAGCTATAAGATATTCTTTCTTTCTCTCTACCCAAAAAATCATCAGAAAAATAAACCATGAAAAAATAATCAGCGATTACCTAATTCATGAAATTCAAAAATAAACACCAAAAAAATAAAAAAAATAAAAATCAAGCGTCAGAATAATGTGCTTTTCGAGAATATCGAGAAATACCTGTCAACATGATTGATTGGTGAGTTTTTGATGGATGCTTGGTTTTTTATTTTCGTGTTTGCTTGAACAAATGGAAATCTCCCAGGCTCGTGGATTTTAAGGGGTTTTCATTTCTGGGTTAATATAAGGAGATTTCGGGTCTGGATTCAAATCCGGGTTTGGTTCAATCCACAATATCAAACCTGACTGAGGACCCAACTACGAGCCGGTGCTAGATTTTGTAGCTAACCTAAAAAATTAAAAAAATATTTAAAATTTTAATATTTTATATAAAAATATTAACAAACAATTGATAAAAATATAAGTTATATATATATATATATATATATATATATATATATGTATGTATGTAAGTATGTATGCATGTATGTATTGTAAATAATAAATTTTAAAATAATATTTTAACAAAATTTTTATTTTACAATGAAAAAATATTATATTATAAAAATAAAAATATTTAAATTAAAAAATTATGAAATATTTAAATTAAAAAATATTATTTTATATTAAAAAAAATATAATTGTTTTCTTGTAAACATAGAGTATATACATTAAAAAGTTTCAAATCTCATATTAAAAAAATAATTTTTTTTGAACATAGAATATATATATATATATTAAAAAAATTTAAATTTAATATTGAAAAAATATTATATTGAAATATTTAAATAAATTTTTTTTTCCCATATTAAAAAAACTTAATTTTTTTCTTATGAATATATATATATATATACACTTTAAATTCCACATTGAAAATATAAAATGTTTTTCTAGTATTACTATAGTGAATTTTTTAAAAAATATTAATAGTCAATAAAAAAAATAAAAAAAATAAGTATAGATAAAAACCATATTTAAAAAAAGATTGGGTCTCGTCTAAGTTAATTCGCTCATGTCAATCTAGTTTTGCTAGATTATTGCACTAACTAGTATTTTATTTTATTTAAATCGTTTTAATTATTAGATTTCAAAAACTGAAGGTTATTCTTAGCCTTGAAAATTACAAAAAAAAAATAACAGAATGTAATAAGCGTTGGGCCAATAGCTTCCAAATCAGTTGACTTTAGGATATTAGGTGTTAAAACACCCTTCGGGCTTAATGACTTAGGTTAGGGAGGCTACAAAACCAAACTTATCTACATTTTTATTATCATCATTCATTTTTTTTGCTTTTCTTATTCTTTTTTTTTGCTTTTTTGTTTTTATTTCAAATTACCCTCCCTTGGTTTACGTCCATGAATGGCTTAAATGCCTTTTATGGGTCGGGGATAGGCTTCCCATCCAGTTTTCTTAAAAACTAGCAAACAAGGTCTTTTTTAGTCGGATTTCCAAGACTATGTCAAGCATGTTCTTTATGAAAATGGGTTCATAAGTCATGAATTGCACGATGCTTATCTCAACTAGGATGCGTCTCAAGAGTTAATAGAAGATTATCTAAAGACTCCTTACTCAGGCCATCCTTAATGAATTGTATTTTATCTTCATGATTTA